CTCATCCTGCCTCTTCTTTAGCTGACTCGAACCCTCTTTCAGCTCCTCACACAGCCTCTGCCACTGCTCAGACTCTGCCTGTGCTGTCTGTAGCGCTCCCTGGTGGAAGGGAAGAGTGGGAATGAAAACTGAATTCTTGGAACACAGCTAGGCGTTCTAAAAGAAAAACTCAGTGCGATTCGCAATGCTAAATATGGAGGTAATGTTGGTGATTTGTATTACATTTTATAATTGTTATTACGACTTTGACCACGGCATTTGCTTACTTACCTGTAGGTACTCCATCTTACTCTGAGCGTCCGCCTTCTCATTCTCCGCCCTCTGAATAGCCTTCATAGCCTGCTGTTCATACTCCTCCCTCTGTTTTTCCATCTTTAACACCACTTTTTTCACTCCATCCTGAGGAACCTTCTGAAAAAGACAAATTGCAGCATTTATCTTTCTATGTCAAAAAGTTTCTCAAACTCTTTGACCTGTAGGCTACTTATCAAGGGCCAAGTTAAACCAATATGCTATTTTACAAATTAAAAGCACAAAAATATACAACAAACCACAGCATGGTTTGGTGTTGTTGCAGAGATGCAGCATTGCAAGTCTTACCTTGATGCAAACCTGCAGCTGAGCCTCCAGAGCTTTGATCTTATTCTTCAGCAAGTCCTCATCACAGCGTGTCTGTGGGAGGAAAAGGAAATGTGTGAGAGAGATAGAGAGAACCACTGAAGCAAGAGTTTTCAGTTTCTGTACATGCATTACATCCTGTCTTATAACTGCTTCCGTAGCATTTTGTTAAAAGCAAGCAACCTTTATTATTAATAATTCTCAATTGAATGCTACAGTATATTGCCTCTTGAGAAAAATAAAGAATGAGCTCAAAATGGAAAAATGAAAAAGTCTGAATGCGGGGCGAGTTTGAAGCATTGCAGAAGCGCAAACAAACCCCTCTCTGACGCCTACACTGCTCTCCATTACGTGTGTGCGAGCTAGAAAAAGAACCTTTCTGTTTTTTTGTTGTTTTTTTCAGAACGAACCATATAGAGCTGGATGTTGGCGAACACAAGACCATCCCCCAGCCTCTCTCTGTATTACTGCTGTGACCAAACCAGGAAATTCGGCAACTGATGAAGCCAGTATTATGCAGAGTGACAGCATAGCTAATGTATCAGTAATGACCATGAATTTCAGAATGCTTTTGAATATGGTTTGTCTAATTTTGATTTAATAACCACAGCTTTTGAGCTGTATGAACTCCACAAAAGCCGATAATCATGTTCTTCAGCAGATTTACGAATGATCCAAAGATCATCTTGTGCTTCAATGGAAGCAAGAACATCTGACAATCTGTATAAAGGATTTCACATGGCCAGTGTGTTTGATTAGATTTCATAATGTACAGGTGCATGTGTGCCTCTAAATGATGCTGCAGGTCTTCAGCAGGAAGTAGTTTACTAATGTACCTTCCACAGGAGCTCTGTAGAGTGCAGTAATGTGGCGGCGCTCTTCTGGAGGTTGGAGAGCTTCTTTTTAAGAGCCTCTTCTCTGTGTAAGGCCTCCTGCATAGAGATGTCACATTTCACATCAGTAACATATTTTAAAATCAGTCAGGAAGAGCTGGTGTTTTTAAATATAAACATAATGGGTTGTCATACTTCTAAATAGTCAGCTAACTGGTGTACATCCTAAAAACAAAAGGAGAGGAAAAAATATTAATAATTGTTTTAAAATAAATTACACAACATTACCATATTTAGCTATTTGTTTTTAAACAAGCATCAAATTTCTTACTGCTTCTTTGATGGTAACAAATCCAGACCTGATGGAAGAAAGTTCAAATGCTGCATTAATATTTACAAAGCAGGTGCATTATGATTACATTTTTCATTTGAAAATATACAGTAAATGTAATGTGACTCACTCAGTCTGAATGCTGGCGGTTTGCAATGTCTTCTGGGTGTTTGAGAGCTGAGTGATGTCTTTAAGCAGAACTGTGAATTATAAACACAAAACAATATTTTTAATAGTACTAATATTATAATATTTTGTCATGTATCATTTTGTCACATCCTAACATATATAACAAAACACTTTCAACTGGTGTACATCCTAAAAACAAAAGGAGAGGAAAAAATATTAATAATTGTTTTAAAATAAATTACACAACATTACCATATTTAGCTATTTGTTTTTAAACAAGCATCAAATTTCTTACTGCTTCTTTGACGGTAACAAATCCAGACCTGATGGAAGAAAGTTCAAATGCTGCATTAATATTTACAAAGCAGGTGCATTATGATTACATTTTTCATTTGAAAATATACAGTAAATGTAATGTGACTCACTCAGTCTGAATGCTGGCGGTTTGCAATGTCTTCTGGGTGTTTGAGAGCTGAGTGATGTCTTTAAGCAGAACTGTGAATTATAAACACAAAACAATATTTTTAATAGTACTAATATTATAATATTTTGTCATGTATCATTTTGTCACATCCTAACATATATAACAAAACACTTTGAAAAATTGATTCTTTTTATTTCCAATATCATGCAGTGCATAACACTAGTATGTTTTGACATTTTAACCTCACTATTACTTATTACAGTAAGTAGAACTTAAGTATTCATGTCTCTGATTAATTTAAAGTGATGTTAGACATGACTTGGTTGGACCTATGGTTATTCATCAGAAAATCCACTAACCTCGTTCCTTTTTCATTTTCCCATGAAGCCGAATAGAATTGAGGACTGGTATGTCCCATCCATCTGATTTCAGGTCATGTTCATCATTCATTGGAGATGTGGAGACTGTCTTTGGGATTTGGACATTTGATTTCAGTGTTATTATAAAGGATCAGTGTTATTATAGAGGATGTCATTAAAGAATATAAAAAAATTATTGAATTTAATAAATTAATTTAAATATTTAACAAATATAAAACTGGTGAGCAATCAGTCACAGACCAAAGACCTGGTTAATAATCTCTCTACCTGCTTTGTAAAGTTAATGCCATCTCTCTGGAGCTTTACATTTGGACGTGTTATCAAGGGCCGTCTGACTGACTTTAAGGTTTGCGTCATATGCTCTGGTGCATGCAGAGTTTCCCTTGAGTATCTGTGCCTTGGCACTGCAGATAACAGTGCATATGTGCCATGGTCCACTGGTCTTCTTTTGAAGAACTCAAACTGTCTTTTGCGATGCAGTTCATTTTTAATCCACCTTGTGTCCAGATCTCTCGTGGGACTACGACATGATGTTGTGTTATTCCGATGGCTGATTTCTCTGTGCTTCACGGCACGCTGCTCCACTTTGTACTCATAATTTGCAGCTGGTGACCTTCTTTTGTCGTGAGCACCCTCCATTCTGTCCAACTCTTGAACTTTGTAGGATATTTCTGGGCACTGGAATGTCACCTCACAATGTAAATGTATGGTTCTTGAAGTGGCAATTTTCTGTAATTGAAAAACAATATACTGTATATCCATCCTTTAGTGGTACTATATCATTAGATCTCAAAAATAGACCATCCAAAATTATCTAAATGACACAAAATGAGGATAATCAACAATTGCTGTAATAAAACAAGCAAAAACTAAAAAAGCAAGTTATGCTGTTGTGGGTCACACTTGTGTGTTCTCATTCTTTTCTGATCTAGAATAAATTCATGTTTATAGTGGTTACATATAAGATAATAAATGCTTATTTAAACATACTGTGAGATGGCGTGTGTCCAGTCATTCACTTCTGGTGTCATATTGTTTCAAAACGGGCATGAACTGAGCTACATGCAGCTGAAACAAAAAGGTTCAACCGTCAATGATTATTTAAAATGCAAACGGTGTTCATATATATGCAGAGATCTGCTTAATAATGACTGAAAAATGTCTCTAAGACGCAGCATGCAATGCTCCCATATAGAGATTTGCAACAATTTTAGGCACTACGTTGACTGAAAATCTACATTAACAAAAAAAATATATATTTTAAAAAGCAATAAATAAAACAATTTTCTGAAAGCATCATTTAAATACATTTACCTAAAATGTCAACAAGTTGAAACCAAATATCAGGTTGCAACTGAATAACAAGCCTGCATTCATACAGTTACACCAACATCTTGTACGTTGTGCAAATGCAAGATAAACTACAACAAGTTTTAGCATATTTGTGTCTTTACATCCTTTTAATGAAAGTACCTGTTCTGAGATGAGTCCCTGGAGTCAAAATAATTGTGAAAGCCGAGTCTGAACACTTTGAAGCCTACATGGCGCTTGAAAACTAGTTCATTCAACAAAGGGCGGTCTGCTTCGTTTGCCTTGCTTGCTTAACAGGAAGTAAGATGAACCTCACAACTTGTATGAGTTCCTCTATCTCAGCAGCCATGCGTACTGAAACTGGTGCCACACACGGATGGGCCCTAAGATTAGGACTGGAGAGGTGGTCATATTGGCTGTTTAAATGTAGCAAAAGTGGACGGGGAGGGACTAGAGAGAAAGAGAAAGACAACATAGAATCACTATTCAGTGTTATATCAAAGCAAGATTTTAAAATGCAAGCAAAAACAATTATAAGTGGACTCATGTTGATGTTCCTATATGAAAACAAATTAATTTGAGCTGAAGAAAGAAATAAAGTAGACACTTAATTGAGTGTTTAAGTGGGTGTAGAAACAGACTATACAACAAGTAAAGTTTAAAATACCATATTGTTAGACTGTAAATCCACCTATGTTCAGTGTATAGGGCCTACTATACATTTTAATATTGGGCAAATTCCCATTAAATCTAAAAAAAGAATCCAAATGAACAGTGTTTATCTATTTAAAGACGTATTTAAATGTTTATTGGTGTTAATTATCATCATCGATATGTTCAAATAGGCTACTTATGTTAGCAACAACTTACAAGTGTCAACGTTTCTTTTATTGTTTTTATGGTGAACTGGCGCCACATGCTGGCTCCTTCTCAGAGTGCAGAGTATCCCGGATGTGATAGAGCGCTGGTTTTTGGAACATCTCGCGATATCTGAGGCGAGAGTTCCTCATCCTTGGTCTAGAAGGGCACAGAAACGTTTTGTCCAGGGATCCTGACATTGACCTGTTAAAACATGTTGTCGAGACTGGTGCTCGTTTCAGGTGTGTGATTTATCTAATGAACGGTACTCTAATAATTCGCGTTGATTGTGTGGATTAAATAGACGGTTTTATGAGGGAATGTGAAGTTGAAGGGTAAATTTAGGCCGCCTGGTGTGAATGGTCACACATGAACCTGTAGAGAAGCGTGTTTATCTGCTCTAATGAATGTATGTTTTAATTCTAATGATGTTTAAAATGCAATGAAGTCCAGCAGTGATTGCTGCATGAGAACGATCGTGGAGTTAATGTGCTTTCAGTATGTCCTTGTATTGAGTTGTTTAGCTGTTAGCTGAAAGCTAATGTCTCATTCAAACTTTACCACTTATATTAGCTGCGTAATAATTTACATTTAATGTATAATAACATTTATTGAATGTTCATTTAGGGGTGCAAATTAATACATTTTATCTCAGATTTTTGCTAACCTGGTAAGATTCACAACTTGTAACTTATGTATGCAAGGGCGTTTATTTTATTATATCTGCACTATGAACCAAAATCATTATGAATCCAAAAACAGAATGTGGCGTTTTATTTGCAGTCTGTTAATATTGTTGAACTAATGACATGTAGACGACAGGTTTTAGAAGTGACAGCTGCAAAAGATAAGTTAATGAAATTTTTTTAAACAAATCATTGATTCTTTAGATGAAATCACAGCTGCATTTAATAAAACATAATTACAGGCAGTAATGAAAGGTGTCAGTCTTTTTACGGATGACATTGAGATTATTTTCAGTCCTTTTCTAAAGATTTTTGCTAACCTGGTAAGATTCACAACTTGTAACTTATGTATGCAAGGGCGTTTATTTGATTACATCTGCACTATGAACCAAAATCATTATGAATCCAAAAACAGAATGTGGCGTTTTATTTGCAGTCTGTTAATATTGTTGAACTAATGACATGTAGACGACAGGTTTTAGAAGTGACAGCTGCAAAAGATAAGTTAATGAAATTTTTTTAAACAAATCATTGATTCTTTAGATGAAATCACAGCTGCATTTAATAAAACATAATTACAGGCAGTAATGAAAGGTGTCAGTCTTTTTACGAATGACATTGAGATTATTTTCAGTCCTTTTCTAACGACTGTGTTCTGTTTCTTGTAGGTCATACCCTGAAAAACAGCGGGTCCTTTGGCGCTTGGTATGTAAAATCTTTCATTGTTGTGGTCAGTGGTGTGTATGTACGTCTGGGATTGAAGAGAGCTGGAGAACAAATGATATCCATAGACCTCTAACCCTGTGCTGCTTTTACTCCTCAGCTTGGTTCAGGCCTCTCGTTCCTTTCACCAGTCCTCCCAGAGTCTTGCACCAGTTCCCCCTCTGCCCGAGAAGGGAGGAAAGGTCCGACATGGCATCTTCCCAGAGGAGCTTTTCACACTGCTGTATCCCAAAACCGGTGTGACAGGTGGGATTGTCAGCATTATTGCCTCCTTTCTTAGCGTTTCCCTGTTATCCAGATTCCTGTTTGTCTTTTTAAAAGTTCACTCCAAGTAGAAATTCTCGAAGAATCTTTATTCAGAAGTTTACCAGAATCATTCATAATCTATCATGCTTCAAAATGAACATTCACTTGTTTTGCTAACTGCATATCACAATTCCGTCTTATTTAGATGCAGTCCTACCTTATGACACCTTTATGTGATGAATAGATTGATAATAACATTGTTATTAATTAATAATCTCTTCATCCAAAAGATCAGATTATTTTCTGTTAACAGCGAGCGCATTTTTTTTTTTTAATGCTTATTTCTACGATCTCACTTTTTGTTTGTGTCTTTCAGGAAAAGGAAAGCATCGCCAAGTGCATTGCAGATCTGAAGGTCCTGGCCAAGAGCACTCAGGCTCAGGCTACAGTATAGGTCTCTGTCAATGTCCACTCCACACTAAAGCCTCTTGTTTTCATTCTAAATGAACCCTTTCCTTGTGAACATGCCAGTCTGGCAGTGTCATTAGAAGTGTACATACCCGTATTAAATAAAAGATTTGGTTATTCACTAAATTCTTTTTCCGTCCTTTTTGTGGGATGATTTGAAGAACTCCTGTTCTTTGCCTTGTAGTTCTGACATTATTAGTTTAAATGTTTTGTTGAGCTGTTAGGTGATATTAGTAAAATGATTTAAACTTCACAGATTAAGCCATACCTTTCACATTACATCTGCAAACTATGGTCCAAATACTTAATTTAAAGTGGTTGAAACTAGGGCTGGGTAAAAAAATATTGATATTAATCGATTATCATTTTTACGGAAAGAAATCGATTCTTAAATCCCAAGAATCGATTAGTCTAGCCTGTTTTCAGTTAATGGACGGAACGTTGAAGGGCGCTTACCATCCAATATATCGCAATAAGCATTGTGCTTTTGTTACATCCCTAGGATATATGTATTACATTATTTTTAAGTGTATTTCCCGCCCCTTTGGGTGTGGTTATGTTATCCTGTGTATGTGCTGTAGGTGCTCGCTCTCTTTATCTGCTTGCTTGGCAGTAGCAAATTGCCCAAAGCTCTCTCTCTCACTCACACACACACACACGATGCGCAAAACTCCGCATTTGAACAGTCAATAGCAAATACGTAAACTAATAACAAAACAGTAGCTGATTCAGAAGCACCAGATTGTCATAGCAAAGTCAGAATTACCTCCTCTCCTAGGTTCACGAAACGGTCGTCCATAAAATGCATTGCTGTTCTGTTGTAAGTAATCTTAAAGATTCCTAAATGCATCTACTTCCGGAAGGCCAAATAAAGTGCTTTTGCTTTCGCCTAGAGACACACAGCGTCTCCCTGACATGGCTGCTTCAACACTAACTGCGGTTACTGAAACCACGCCGCCTTTCTTTGCATGCACAGTTGGGCGCATTGTGCAAATATTCCCACATAGTGAGGTAGATATGTGGGGGCGTGTTAGAACGAGCCGTTTTAGGGGGGTGTGGCAGAGTCTTAACTTTGATAAAGAATATCTCTTTGGTTTTGAGACTTTAGTCTTTGCAACTTCAGGGATCTTATCTATTCACAAACAGCTTGTAACACTCCAAAGAGAAAGGAAAACTTGAAATCGCATCATATGACCCCTTTAAAAGAAAGGGTACAACTTTACAAGCCGTGTCCTGTCTCATGTAATAGCTCAATCAGTGTTTCAGCTGCGCAAAGACGTCAATATAACGGTTTGTAAACAATGTCATGTATGGTCGCTGTAAAAAACATATTTGGTGACCATAACTGTAACTTTATTATTAGTGTAATTTTACAAAATCAGTCAATTTTCACCTTCAATATTATCGTAATGTAGTACCAACTGACTCTGACAGCATTAGTTGAGATTTTTTTCCTTGAAAATTTGGCATGTACTGTACCTGATATATCCAAAATAATCGATATTGAATCTAATCGAATCACAAGCTTGTTAATGAGAATCGAATTGCGAAATTTGTGTCAAAACCCAGCCCTAGTTGAAACATATTCTCATCTTTCTTTTTAAAATATGCCACTTGGCTTAATGTTTTGTTATGGTAATACAGCAACATACATTTAGTGTGACGAAAGTGTACAAATTCATTCAGGGGTCACTGTGCACCACTTTGTTGTACACGTCACAATGGCTGTCTATTAATGACAAAGCCTTTGTACTCAAGGATGTAAATGTAAAACCTACCTGCTGCTACCTGATTTACTATTATTCAGGAACTAGACTTTGACCTCAGCTTTTCCAAGCAGGAAGACCAGAATATTTGCTCTCAAGCAGTTCACAAAGAAGACGGATTTGAGGATATGTCTAACTTCTGGAGTAATCTGAACCTACATTTGGAGATTTGCGGTTAAATTTTGAATTTTCTTTAAGGTAACACATACAATCATTTGTATAATATGGTTAATTTCAGCTATACTTATTTTATATCCGAAACATGTAGAGGCACTGATACATCGTGTTTAACACAGATTGATAGGGCAGTAATTAATTTGAATAATGTAAGATAGAAACATGGTTACATCACAATTATTCTAATTTGTGTTGTCTTTTAGAGGAGTGATATTATTAGTGTTTTTTTCTTATTTCTTTTTCTGGTTTGCTCTGCGGCGTATCACTTTTGCACGTCTGTTTTCTTCTCGCCAAGCCAAACATGTTAAGTTGTTATAGAGAAAGTTCCTGCTTTGTGTTGTCAGCAGTTTTTTTCTGTTCATTCGTCAAGCACTTCATGACTGGACAGTTCTCGCTTGTTTTTGAGAAGAAGAAAAAAATCCTTGACCATAAGTTTTTTCATTCTTGTAATTGTCTTATGAAAGCCAGTGATTCTGCCATGATTTACTGACCTCATTTAAAAAATCTGACATTGATTTAATATAGAATTTTTACTACTCAAATTTAAAAATAAATGTCAAGTTATGATATTAATACATCAGGCAGTATTCACTAAGTGACTGATTGAAATTATAATTATATATTTTTCTTAAAAATATCAACATTTGAACATAAAAAGCACTTGTTCTGATATTTTGGTTTTAGGCAGCTTAATTTGTTTTGTGGATTTAATACGTGCTTGCTTCACAAACTTGATGACTACACTTTCACCTCCTTTTGAAAAGTTAAGCGGTGTCAAACCACAACTGATGAACAGATACTTCTTCATGTTTCTGCCTGGCATAGCTTCTCAAATGTCTATGCCATTTTTCTGAATGGTTTTATGACTGATAACATTATTATTACAGGTGTTAAATATCACAGTCAAGAATGTATGGGGGGAACCCTGTCCCAGTTTTCCAATCAAGGTACATATCTTACTCACCTTTACCTCCATCAGCGTTATCTTTCACTGTGTGCGAGTGGAATTTGTACCTGAAGCACACAGAAGGGTGTTTCAGTGTGGTGCGTCATGTCCTGTCTTCTCTCATATCGGTTGTCATAACAGCTGTCAGGCAGGTCGTCATTACACAACGTTGTGAGGCAGGGTTATTCAAGTTT